TAAGAGGAATCCACTGTAAATGAATCTACTATGCCCACATCAGCTGAGTTTAACTGCAGAAAAGGAGGCAAAGATTTAGAAAATGTTTCAACCACCTTTTAATGCTGCACATCGATACGGAAGATGTGAAAATAAGAGAGGGAGGGAGAGAGAGAGAGAGAGACTGAATTAGTCCAAACACAAAGGCATGCTGATGTAGTTCAATGACCATGCTGAGATCCAGTCTTACAAACAAGAGAAGTATGGGACTGGAAGTCAGGGAGCCAAAACTTCAGTGCTGGAAAAAGTAGGTTCAACTGGTGAACAAAATGAGAGGATGAGTTTTCAGCCCTGTTTAGGAGCTCTTAAAGTAATTTGGGGGACAGTGAATGAGAGAATGGCTGAGGGAGAGAAAGGTGGAGGGAGAAAGGCCCTCTCTGTTCCAGGGACTCTGCCTTTGTTTCCACAATTTGAGGAATGCCGATCACCGTGATGTGTTGACCTCGGTGCACTAGAGAGGTGGACTGACTGTCACTGCTGCACCAGTAAGGAGCCCAGACAAAGATGCATTGCTGTCTTTCCTTTGTGTCCTTTTCTCTCCCCCATTTTCTTCATCATGTCCTCTCTCTCTCTCGGCTTTCCACTTGATCCTGAGATCAACTATACTGCACTGCATGGCACCAGAAGGTGGACATGAGACGGCTCAGTCAGAAAGATCTGGGAGGGACTAGTCAGGTGATGGCTTGCTTCTCCAGTCTGACAAGTCCATGGTAATGGCTTTTGTAACAGACCTGTCTCCGCATCCTGAAAATGTCAATCAAAACCATGTTTCCCCTACTTTTTACTGTCCTGTGCACGCCCACCCCACTTCATCAAAGGTCAAAACTTTTGGCTTTGGCAGCCAATTCAGAGCTGAACAATAGTACTCTATTGTATATAGTACTACCCCCCTCCCCTCCATTTCCAAAGGACTGCTTGACAAGACTACCTGATACAGCCTCTCAAAAAGGTACTTGGATAAATTTATTCTATCTACTCACTCAAGTACTCTGTTTTCCTTTATTTTTTTCATGCATGTCTCTGTATCTCAAGTCAACACATTTCCAAACTTTGGCATTAATTCCTTACTGTAGTTGTCATCAGCATTCCCTCTAAGCTGTGCGGCCAGCACAGCATGAGTGCACCTGCACGGCCACGCACATCACACAGCTCAGAGGGAACGCTGCTTGTCAAGGTAACTAAGCAGGCCATAATCACTGTACACAGAGCCCCAAACCTAGCTTAATGATTTACAGATACAATGTCATGGTAAAAGATCTTAGTGAGTCAAAGATGTTATTAACTGAGGTGTTAGACATCAGCTCAACAGCAACAGGTTCAAATTGAAGTCTGCTAACTTAACTAGTTTCTGAACTCCAGTATTCACAAGCAGTTTGAGGAGGACACCATCATGGGTACCTACAGCACCTACGTTCCCAAGGACACGGAGGCCGAGGTTCCGAGATCAAGCAGAACAGTTATGTTCAACCTAGCATGACCTTAGTTCCCAGGCTCATTTATTCACTTTGCAACAGAACCCCTCCCATCGTACATGTGCCTCCTGTAAGACTGAAGCATACAATCATGTTTAGCATTGAGGGAACACACAGAGAAGCAACTTCTGCTCAGGTCTGGACTGTGTGCTGTAATGAAATACATTTAACTGGCATTAACTGCTAAGCAGTAAACCTTCAGTGTGAGGGAGGGGCTGGGAGGAATATTTGAGTCCTGCACAAAGGTCAATAAAACTTGAGGGTGCCACTATCACCTGGAACTGGTGTGTGTGCAGTAACTGAGACAGGCAACAAAGTATGTTTTGTAGCAAAATCTGCTAAATGGTGAGTATGTGCATATTTCCAAGGGAGGCTGTAACAACAGCTCTTCTGTGAGCTTTATTGTCCTCGTAGCTGAGTTGAATTGGCTCTTGAACAATAGAGAAGTAACTTCAGAAGATGAGCTGTTTATAGGGCAAGGGGTCTTGGCTTCCAACTGTGACCAGCTGGCAAAGGTTAAATTAAATGATCTTTTCATGGAGTCAATGAGACCTGGTAGAGAAGGTACTGGATGAGAAGTAGGAGACCTGCATTCTTCTAGCTCTAACGTTGGCTTGCTGGGTGATCTTGAACATGTTCCTTTATAATGACTCTTGTCTTCTTTGTCTAGTGCTTTGAGATCTAGGTATGAAGACTGCTAAAGGAATAAATATAAAAAAATAAGCATTCTAGTTTATTGCAATGACTGAAGCTTATGGTATCTTCCAAGATCTTTCCTGGGACATTTACCGCTCCTCAGAGTCAGTTACTTTATATTTTATTCCAGTAAGCAGAAAAAGAAGGGAATGATTTGAAACATCTGCAGGTGGTTCTGACCTTTGCAACTGAGAGGAGAGGGCTTGTGGGAGAAGGGCAGGAAGCCACCAGGAGTTGGGAGGAGTATTCACTGAGAAGTAAGTGACTGGAAATCACCAACAGGTAGGACAAGGAGTTGTGGACACTTGTCATGGTACTGGCTGTATAATGAAGATTGTTGGAGGGACTATAAATGGGAGAAACTTGGTGGAGACACTAGTTCTCCCTGCTGCAGGAGATAAAAACTGCAGCCTCCTGTAATAAGAAAGTAAGATGTGGCCTAATGTCAGCTCGATGCCCACTAAGTCTCTCTGCATCTTCTAATCTCTGTTCCATTATGACTAAAAATGCATATGGGAAGAAGTGTGCAGGGGAGATATGCTTCTGCCATACAAGAGGTGTGAAATTTTAGGCGACATGAGCTGGAGACAGAACTAGGGCTCTTATTTTAAAAAAGTGGGGGCGGGGAGGGGGAGGGGGGAGCTTTAGTGCTGAAGCTGAAATGGACCCTTCATTAGCTGTAGGCATGTTGGAGGTTGTATGTGTTCCAGCTGCCCCACGGTAGGGATGACTGCTTCCCCCCAACTGTTCTCAGAGAGGTCACAGGGCTGCGCTGGGGAGTGCCATGCTTTAGTAATGTCATGGGCTTCAAAGTAGGCAGGCTAATCTGCGGCCAGGAGGAAAGGGGTAGGGTGGGGAACTGCAGGGAAGCGATGAAGGTGGTGTGATTGTGTGCAGGAGGACTGAAGGGTGAACCAAGAGTGTGCGCAGGATAGGAGTCCAGCAAAGGGATGGAAATGGGAGGGGTTGGAGGAGATGGAGTCTAAAGCAGTGGTTTTCAAACTTCCTAGTCACACAATCCTTTTGTATCACTGCTGCCATAGAAACCCTACCCCCATCTTAAAGAGCTGGCATGGCGTTAGGTGACCCAGCCTGGCGATGGTGGTATGCTGCTTCCCGACCTGCTCAGCCATTACCCTGATCTCTTTGCAGAACCCCGATGAACAGGGTTTGGTGAAACGCACTGAAAACCACTGGTCTAAGACACACAGTGGAAAGGGGTGATGGAAAAGAGAAACATGAAGTGGGAAGCAGAGAGGCAGAGTGTGAGTGGGAAAAGGGGTCTAGGGCCGTGCTAAGTGACTTGAGCGATGCCTAGCCCCTGTGCCCCGAGTTGCAGGGTGTCACAGGAGGCAGCCGGCAGGAAAGCCGTGTTTGGGAGGCTACGCCCACGGGCGGAGCTGAACTTTTGCAGAAGGGGGTGCAGATAGCAAGCGGTATCATCACCTATGAAAACAACACGTAGTTTTCTCCTGTTAAAAATAAACTAGAAGCTTTATTAATATGCTAGGGGGCCTAAGCTGTGTTAGTCCGTTTAAGGTGGAAGCAGAAACAAACATAACTTCAGGAGAGTTCGTGCACAACAGCCGGCAGGGCGGCACGACAGGAGCGCCGGGAGCAGGGAGCAGATGGCAGCCTTGCACAACAAAGAGCAGCTTGACTGGTGGAGCATCAAGACTGTAACAAGGAGAGAGGGGCCCGGGCACTTCTGGGATGAAGAGCGCAGAAAGGGGCAGGTAGAGGACAGTGAGCCACAAAGTCCAGAGACTCCCTCAGCACTGCCAGGCTTTGGGGTTTAAACTGTGGGTGGAGCAGGAATCAAAGGGGGGTGCAAGTGCACCCGGGCACCCCCACGTCCATGCAAGCCGAGCAGTGGTGTCTGCTGGCGCGAGGGCTTGGGAGCCACAAGGCAGGTTCACACACATCTTTTTTTTTTTTTTTGCAAATCTCGTTTTTTTGCACCCATCGCAAGTACCCTGGGGTCGCCGCCGTGATTTGTGACCCGTGATTACTGGCGTCAGGGCAGGAGGAAGCGGCAGTGCGTGCTGGGGCGGCGCCCCAGCTCAGGCCATCTGCACCCAGGGCCTTTCAAGGCCCTCCGGTCCCCCCGCCCGGGCCTCGTGCGGTGGTACGTTCCACCGCGACACCTTCCCACCTCTTCCCTCCCCTGACGTTGGTTCACTCCAGCGAGCGAGGGCCAGCCGCTGCGCCCCGTGCTATTCCGGAAGGGCGGCTGCGCAGCTGGAGCGCGGCTGCTGCGAGGACTACGCAGACGCAGTTGAGGCGGTCCGCGCTGTTTCTGTAGAGCGCGGCGCTATTCTCGAAGGCGGGTTACAGCGGGCGGAGGCCGGCGAGGGCCTGGCGCTACGCAGATGGCGTAGAGGGCGCTTCCGCCAGTGGACCCGGCGGCCGGGACGTGGCGGGATGCGGCACGCGCTGTGCGGGGCCCTGCTGGCCCTGGCGCTCGGCGGCCTCCTCGTGCTGCAGCCGGG